TCCCAATATGGGTTGTGTTAATATTTTGGTGGGGTACACATAAGATGTGCACACTTTGGCTTACTATACCAACAGAATAAGGGGGCAATTCGAGAATGAGTTATTAACAGTGAATTGTTTTCTAGTGAGCTCAAATTCCATTTTGCATTATTATTTCATGATTAAAATGATCAGAGTATATAAGCTTTCATTCAAATATTTTATATTTCTACCTTTCAGTTCTCTATTATGTTTTGAAACTATATAAATATTCAACTGTCTTTTTGTTTTTTAATTTTTTCTCTTTCATGAATGCCATGGTCTTTGGAGGCTTGTTTAGAGACCAAGTTAATGGCCTTTTAAGCTTCTTTCACATGAATTGCAGTAAAATTTTGAATATGTAAGAATTAAATATTACAGGAGTGCACCAGAATTTTAGAAATACTTAAATGGGGCATAGCCCAAAATTGGTTGGGAACCTCTGAAAAGGCATATACCTCAAAACTCCATCTATAAAAGAAAGAAAAGTCACTTTCAGACCTGAATGAATACAAAGGTGAAAAGAATTTACCCCACACTTTCTAAGATGAGTGTTAGTGATTAGGTAATGACCTTAAATCATAACAAACTAAAGAATCTCTTGAACTGCAAGTATTCACCAAAGTATGGCTTTCTGACTGAGTTTGAAAATTTCTACTGTTAAGTTCCATTTAAATATTGGCTATATTTCTTTATACTATGATATTATCAGTTTTTTTTTCTTACAAAGATTTACTAGGGGTGCTGAAAAGTTATTTGATGGACATGCTTCCCAAAACCAATATTTTGTGATTGTTTATTGAAATGCTGATTGTTATTCCAGTACCCCACTATATGGAGTTATCAATTACAGTATTTCTTTAAGATTTCTTCACTATGGTACCTAGAGTTTTTGAATTTAAATGCGGTATTAGACTGGCATTGAGATGTCATCAATATACAGTGGAACTGTCTAGGTGTAGCTATAAATTCTATGTCAACAGTTTCTTCTCTCACACTTCTCACTTGTGGAACTCACTTCCAGCTCCTTGCTTTCCAGCCAACTTTAATCTGCAAAAATTTAAATGCAATGTCAATCACTATCTACTGTCCACTTAATTACTCTCTTCTCATCATTAATGTTTTTGTTCCTAATTCTCCCACACTCTGTAACCCCTTTTGTTTTAGTAGCATTACTCTCTTGCTTGGGATGATTCTGATTAAAAAAACAATCTACATATTCTATGTAAATTGCCTTAGCTTAAATCCTTCTAAAATACTGCAATTGAAGATGAGGTAAAATGAAATTCAAAAACTGGTAAATGAATGTAAATGACTTTAGGTAAATAATAACTTTTGATTAAATGGGATTCCAGGATTTCAGACGTTACATTATAATTGCAAAAGAAGAATACAGGATTTCAGACGTTACATTATAATTGCAACAGAAGAATACAGGATTTCAGACGTTACATTATAATTGCAACAGAAGAATACAGGATTTCAGACGTTACATTATAATTGCAACAGAAGAATACAGGATTTCAGACGTTACATTATAATTGCAACAGAAGAATACAGGATTTCAGACGTTACATTATAATTGCAAAAGAAGAATACAGGATTTCAGACGTTACATTATAATTGCAAAAGAAGAATACAGGATTTCAGACGTTACATTATAATTTGCAAACAGAAGAATACAGGATTTCAGACGTTACATTATAATTGCAACAAGAAGAATACAGGATTTCAGACGTTACATTATAATTGCAACAGAAGAATACAGGATTTCAGATGTTACATTATAATTGCAACAGAAGAATACAGGATTTCAGACGTTACATTATAATTGCAAAAGAAGAATAAGGATTTCAGACGTTACATTATAATTGCAACAGAAGAATACAGGATTTCAGACGTTACATTATAATTGCAACAGAAGAATACAGGATTTCAGACGTTACATTATAATTGCAAAAGAAGAATACAGGATTTCAGACGTTACATTATAATTGCAAAAGAAGAATACAGGATTTCAGACGTTACATTATAATTGCAAAAGAAGAATACAGGATTTCAGACGTTACATTATAATTGCAACAGAAGAATACAGGATTTCAGACGTTACATTATAATTGCAACAGAAGAATACAGGATTTCAGACGTTACATTATAATTGCAACAGAAGAATACAGGATTTCAGACGTTACATTATAATTGCAACAGAAGAATACAGGATTTAAGACGTTACATTATAATTGCAACAGAAGAATACAGGATTTCAGACGTTACATTATAATTGCAACAGAAGAATACAGGATTTAAGACATTACATTATAATTGCAATAGAAGTATAGAGCATTTGAGATGTTACAAAAAGTGGAAAATTTATCTTGAATTAAGCAAAAATTAAACATTTTTGTTTCAGTGCCTTATAAAGAGCAATACATTGCTGTACTATGTTTTAATTGAACATGAAATTTAAAATAAATTTAAATCAACTGAACATAAAGGAACAAGGTGTAAAAATAGCAATAAAATTTAAAATAATATTCAGGTTCCAAGGCAGATACCATAAAATAACAGAAATAAACTGTAACATTTCTTTGCTTAAAAAAAACAAACTTTTGAGTAAATTAATTAATTCAAAACTTTGAACAAAATTACAAACTTAATCTAGTATTTTGATTGTGTCTATTTAAATTGTAAATTGGTGATGAAATAATTATGTGGCTATAAAAAGGTAATGTTTAAAAAGCTTAAAAAAAATGCTCAGTAGGGTAACATCAAATGTTATTTGAGAAGCCTATGATAATTATGATCATTATTGTCCTCCAAGAAGACTGAAGCAAAGCATTGGTTAATCCTTGATATGAATATTTCTGTCGTTTGTATTTTATTCCTGGATTACGTTGATTGGTTGTTTGTCATTCACTTTTTGCTGTCTGTTCTCACAAGTCTTGGACTTGTGGTACTGTCATCCTTGGACTCCTTATTTTTGTTCTCATTATTCTCACTTGATCCACTTTAGAAATTAATACCAGTAGATTCTGTGCAATTTACTTGAAACGTTTGCAGCATTAGTTCCAGAAGAGCTGGACAAATGCTTCTTGATCTTTCTTCATCTTTTTTGACAGCACACAAAAAAATACTTCTGGTCTTCAAAGATAAAAATCTTTCTGAGAAAGAATCAATGAAGAACTGCTTTCATTGAGACACATGTTTGATTTGTTGATCTGACCAGATGCCCAAGAGTTGTATCCTCAACAATGAGAAGGTGGAGCAGAAGATAAGGAGTACACTTAAGGAGTGGGGTCACATGATAGAGACTACTTTACAAGAAAGAGAAAGAAGGAATGGAGTCAGAGGATAGAGAACACTTACTCAAGAAAATCAATCTTTTTCTTTTAGTATCTCCTTAATGAGTTGTTATCAGTTTCCTTAAGTTTCCACTTTTCTGTCTGCTTTTCTCATTCTACTTTTTGTAGTAGCACCTGACTTTATTACTTAGGTTTTATTCAGCAAAGAACATAGCAATATACATGACAGCAATCTATGAAACATTTCAGTAAGAAACAAAATCCACTGACTTCACATAAGAAAGCAGCAAAATATATATACAGTTTTGTCAGCCATGATGTCCATAATCCCACACTGATTAACTGGAAATGCCATTACAAAACACACAAGTGCATAAAAAATTAGAAAATTACTACAATCTTCTTTTCTGCTAAATGAAATTATATTAGCATCAAATTAAAAAACAAAAAAAAACCCCAAAAAATCCTAACTTTTTATATGCATAATAATAAAGAAATACACAAAACACCTTTCTGAATTGATGAGTTTAGAGATTTATTGTTGTACATGATTTATTCTTTTGCAGATACTAAGTTGGAGTCTCTTGTTCTTTTTTTTTCTCCTTTTAATTTCATGCTGATTATTTAGCAGAGGGTAGTGTGATAATTTTCTTTCTATAATTTCTGTATTTTGTGTGAATCAAAAAGGACAATGAGAAAAGAAGGGCTTGGAGAATCTGACACTCACAAGACATACTGAAGGTAAGCGTGACAGAAACTGTGAGTAACTTATCTGACAAACTTGTTTAAAAGAAGGCAGAACAGGGAGCTGAAAGGATAGAAAAAAATAGAAATATTGCTAAGAGTTACAAGGGATAGAAAGTTGTAGAGAGCCATGATTGCCTACATTTTGAAGGGACATAGAATATAGGAGGAAGAGGAAAATGATGAAACTGGTTTACACTCAGTGCCAAAAGTGGAATATTTTATGTTAAAAATCTTTATATCATCAAGAGAGAATAACAGGTTCCTTCTTCTAACAGAAGTGTAGCCTTCATGTAATGTCTGAATAATAAAAAGAGTTCTCAGTAATTTAATTAACATATTGGAACCAACTGCAGAACAGTTTACCCTTGACAAAACGTCAACAGAAATGTTATCCCTCCCACCAGGTGGGTAGTTAATATCACACCTGTAGCAAACAAGCTCAATCTTTCAACTCTTCCTGTGACGGTTGCTACGTCAGACATTTTACCTATTGCTGCTATGTGGAATAAATTAAATAGAAAGACAATCAAAGCCCTTATGGACACTTGTTGTACTGAGGTCTTCATTTGCTGACCCCTTGTTTGGAAGCTACATTTGTATATACATCTAGGTTCTTTGAACTTATTTCTCAGCATTTATTTAACAAAGGATATAACTTATACATGCCAGCAATCTTATATAGTCTTTTAGTAAGAAACAGAGTTCAACATCACAAGAGAAAGTATCAATCCAAGATGCTAGTAACCTCCCACTGAATAACTGGAAATGTCATTACAATAAAGAAGACTGCATACATACTAAACTCTCTCTTTCTGATATTCTTTTGTCCCCCTCCCCACTCCCACACTCCATTGTTGATTTCACTTTTTCTGTCTCCAAAGTTTTCTTCTAGCTTTGCCTTGCCAATATTTTTTTTTTATTTTCTTCTTGCAGGTGGCAAGGCTCGGAATGGAGCCCCCATTCTCACATTCCCTGATGTTCCAGGGATTCCTGAAATCACTGATGAACAGTATAAAAAGGTGGTGACATATCTCTGTACTATTCCAGCGTAAGTGTTCTTTATCTTTTCCTTTTGACATTTTCATTTCATAAATGTTTAATATTTTATTTTCATCATCTTAATTTTATCAACCTAGTGGCAAATGGTCAAAAATCGAATCTAAACCAGGAATATAAGAAAAGGATTGGCATTAGAGACTGATTCAATATAGTGGCCAATTGTGTTTCTCTTTAACGAGTGTCACTTACAAAAGCAAGTCAGAATAATTTGATTTTTGCAATACTTGCCATGATAAATAAAAGTAAATGATAAAAAAATATTATCATTGGAACTTTATTATTAGTTTAAATGACATCAGAAAAATTCTAAAAGTGTAATTCCTTTTTCGTCTTTGTGATCTACTGAATTCAATGATATCTTTTTCTTTTTTAATTAGTGTTTATAATAATTTTTATTGCACAAAAACGACAACCATTTTATCCTTTTCATTGTGTAGCTCTAAAGATTTCCTTTTAAAAGGCTTTCAGCCATATCACGTTGAAACAAAAGCTTCTCATATGGTAAGTTAAGCAATGTCAAAATCAATCATATGAAGAGGACAATGGAAAGTGTGACGCAGAAATTTGATGAGTGAGGTATTAAGGGATCAAAAATAATATTAGAAATAAACAAAAAAATGCCGAACAGCTGAGTAATATCTAATCTCTTATATAGCCATTAATTCTGAACAATTTCATCACAAATGAAGTAAAGACTTGAAGCAACTGAGATGTGGTTCCACTGACAAATGTTGAAAATATCATAGACAGAGCAGGTGATAAATGAGGAAGTTTTAAAAGGAGAAATTACAGAGAAACTGACAAGAGAAGCAGAGAAAAGCAGCCAGTACTTTACTTGACAAGTTATCATTAAAATGTACTAACTTAATGCCCCCCCCCTAATAAATATAGTGGGGGTGATTTACAACTGAATGTTAACATTTTGTCTATTTGCACATATTTTGAAAGTTAGGTTACTATTAAAGGCTAATTATAGAGTCTTATTTATTAGCAATTATGTAATAAAAATCCAGTTTTATTTGGGTCACATCTGATTACACATCAGATTTCTCTGTAACCATCTCTTGGTCACCTTTTAAATGTCACAGATATTTTGGGCAGTGATCTAAGAGTTTGGTTAAAGTTTCATGTCATTTACAGTCATAAATTTTAAAAGTAGTTTGTTTTTGAGATGAAGAATTTTCATTATTATTGTTTTGAATATTACATTGAAGAATGCTTCATTCATTATTTTCTACTTGTCATAGAATAGCAATTTGGTGGTTGCAATGAAAATCAACAAAAATAATATGTAAGAAATAGTGGATGAAAATTAATAATGACAATATTTCACATAAAAAATTCAAAAAGTCTAGAGAATGTGTTGACTAAAAAACTTGTGCCCAGAATAACAAAGATGAAAATATCACCATGGGAATATCCTTTGCCTAACATCTATCATTATTTATTGACTTTTCTGAGTTTACTTGAAACAATTTTTCTTCACTTAATCTTCAAAATATAGCATCAGGAGCTATGTAAATAAAAATAAGCTACAAAAGTTATGAGCCTTTTTATAAAAGAGGAGAATGCATGTCCAAAATATAATTAACACATTTGCTTCTGTGGATGAACTTGCATATCTTTACAAAACTTACATTACCTACTGTTGATGTATATATACATTTTCAAGATATTCTGAAATATCAGTCTAGCATCTTCATTAAAAGCCAACTAGGGTTTACTACTATTTCCAAAACAGGTTAGTAGTATACAATACTACTAAAATTTTTGTGGCATATTTTTATTATATTGTATATTGGTGGAGGCATTTAGCTTAGTTTTTACTGCAGAATATCTGGTCAAAGCCAAAATGACAATGCCAATGAGAAAATGTTGTTAGCATCTGTATAGTCATTTATTTTCAGTACATGGTAATTTCCTATTTATCTCAAACTGGGCCAGCACAGCCAGGCTATAACAATTCAGTAGTGAAAGTGAAATTTATTATATATGGAACAAATAGAGAAAGGAATTACTTTTCTGACAAAAACCAAGAACTCAAGTGATGAAGTTCTCACAGATTTCTAACATCATTTTTATACTTTTATAGTACAAGGGTTGGCTGAAAAATTCATAAACTGATGAAGATACTCTCATAGAATGTAACCAAATGAGCAGAAATCTTTGTCATATCAAATTCATTGTGCAGAATATTCTCAACTCTCTCACAGGATATATTAATAACATTGCTTATTTGATTTATAGTCATTTGCTTGTCATTCATCACCATATAGTGAACACAATCAATGTTTTCCTCGGTAGTGGCAGTTGCAGGATGTCCAGACTTTGGGTCATCTTCAAGACTCTCCCTTTCCCTCCTAAATTCAGCTACCCACTTCTGCACTGTTGATAAAGCTAGTGTGTCTTCACCTAATGTAACCACCATGTCAACATGAATGTCCTTTAGGGCTATATCCTTTTTCTTTACATACTTGATAATACTACAATGCCAAATTTTGTTGATTTTCAAAAAAAGTCACCACTAGTTACTTTTGAAGTCTTCTTTGAACAGTCAGATATTAGTTTACCTGGAAGGAAACAATGCAGTTATTAATAAGAATAGATTAAATTGATGCATGCAATATTTCACAGCTAGCATCACTTCTTCATAGTACACCTATGAACATTTTAGCCCACCCTCGTAGAATTGCATTTTATAGTTGGAATGAAGTTTCTTGTAAGAAAATATGAAGATTATTTAGGTGTCAGAATGTAACAGAAAACGTATTGCAAGAACAAAAATACAGTATTTGACTTTACAAACACATAAAAATAATAAAAATGAAAACATCAAGCTTATTTCTTTAAACAACTGTGAATCTGATGATGGTGATGATGATAATATTTCTAAAGTGGATGATGACTAATAACATTGATGGCTGTATTTGCTTATTCTCATTTTATTTTTATTTTTCCTTCAAACTTATGGCTCGTTTTCTCATAAAACTTTTGATGTTAGGATTTGTTTCAATTTCTATCAATTCTTGATTTGTTAATCTGAAAGGAAAACTGTAACAGTGGCCAGCAGTTGTTGTGCAGTTGAAAGCCAAATGCGATTATCATCGTCTTTATTCTGCCTGCAGTGCAACAGCAGTCAAATGTTTTCTGTCTTCTGCATTTCTAGATTTATAATAATCATCTACTTTCTGAAAGAGCAAAGCTGTTGAGTGTTCATGCAAATTGGTTATTTCAGTTTTTATAAAGATATTCAATTGATTATAGTTTGTATTGGCTGAGGAAAACTTGCTTAAGATAAAGATGATTGTTGTTGTATATATTGATAATATAATATTGCAACTGAAAAGAGCATAAAAGCGTGTCGACAAAGAACTTATATCTTACCAATACCAATAGATCTAACACTAAATACGAAACATTTGGAGACAAGGAATCGAATTACAGTAAATCTTGCCAAACATTACAGAAATCATATTTTTCATCATCAGTAAAAAAAAAAAAAAAAAAAAAAACTTTTTAAAACTTTGTGAAACTTTTCTTGGAAGTAGATTTGTAATCATTTATATTTCTAGATAAATTTTAGAAAAAAAACAGACAACTAATTGTGATCGAAAATTCATTGTATTAACTGTAAGGATTGCCTTCCATTCTCAATATAGTTGAAGAAACAACTTTTTCTTTAGAATAATAAATAGATGTACTTGAGTGATAGTTTTGACTATGGATTTCTAAGATTGTGTGCAATAAGTTCAATATGTTGATACTTCCGTGTGGCCATTAAGAAAAATATCTTTATAGATTGAAACACACTCTTGACTAAAGAAGAAAAATATTTGAGGGCCCATGTCAATAGTGGAATAATTGAATAAAAACTAAAAGGTCATAGGTTTATCTTTTATAGTGACTTGAAAAATACTATCACAACCTCAATGACACAAAAGAAATCATGACAAATGTGTCTTGTGGACAAAATGGTTCATATTTTACTATTCTTATAATTTCATTTAAATATTCGATTGGAATAAGCTAAGTGAAACTTGCTTTGAGAAAAGCATTTCTGCCATAATGTGTAAGGTTGAACTTTCAAAATGGACAAACTGATTAGGATTTGAGAAAAATAAACATTTTTAAATTACAATTGACAAAACAAGATTTTGGTCAATGTTTCATTGTAATATAAATGCAAAAAGTACCAATGGAAATTATCTCTTATAATTTAAATTTTTTTATAAATTCTTTAGAGCATTGACTTTTTTGTTTTATATATAGACAAAAGAAATAAATTCTGTAGGAAAATCATTTTCTTAGCGAGAATTTCCTTTTTTTTTTTTCGGCGAATGTTCCGGGGGTATAGAAGCTATAACATATGCTGTTGGTTAAAAGAATCACTAAGTAAAAGTAACTGAAGAGAAATCAGATCTGTAGGATTCTTTAGCTTAGGATAGGAATCAGCAATAATTAATAATGAACTATATTCAACAATATGCTAAAATGTAGCAATACATATTAATTTTTTGACTAGTTTTTCTTTTCAGCTTTGCTGCTTTTTATTGCACTTCTCTGGTTGCTTTACATTCTTAACCATTAAAAAGCTGCTTGGGTGAGAAATAAAGAATTTACCTTTGACAAGATTTGAACTCACACTCCTCATCCTTGGGAGCTTGTCTTACAGTGGCAGAAGCTTAAGAATTATGTTAGAACAGTTTATCAGAAAACAATTCAAATTTACTCAAGTCTGACAATGAAGAATGACTAAATTTGAATTATGTCTAATTGATAAAGTGCAGTAACTGTCAGACATACAGGATCTGAGTCCAAATCTTGTGAAATGTTTATTTACTTCTGATCTGCATTTTTTGATAAAAATCAAAAAAAATATGATGTAAAGAAAAACTAATTAAAAAATTAATAATGACAACATTGTGAGAAATTTGGACAAATAAAAAATATAACACATATATATTTGAGGACATAGGAAGATGTTGGTCT